GCCAACACGGCCACCGCAATCCAGAGTCGAACCAGGTTGGGGAATGCAGTCATCTAGTCGCCCGTCGAGAGCATGTGTTGCAGGCTTTCGTGGAAGGAGAGGTCTTCGTGATGGGTGGCAAGGATGGTGGTGAAGCTGACCAGCTCCTTCTTAGCCTTGCCCCAGTGGATGCCTGAGGTCGGGGCGATGACAGTAGCAGGGAGTGGGTAAGAGGGGGGGCTGGGTGGGGGGTGGGGAGGGAGGAGAAATAGTGTTTCTAGACCGTGCTACAACGTGGTCATTATACTAGAACCATCAACATAACAACTAGAGCGCAACCATGTACCAATCACCTGGAATCGTATCCTCTTCTTCTGCCTTGCGTTTGAAAATATATCGCAAAGACTACAGCCACTGAAGACTCTTACGCTCCCATTTTGCACGCGACTGACGATATACTCCCTGTCGGAAGAGTCTGCTTCCTTTGAGACAACCGAGATCTTGAAGTCGAAAATCGGGGTTGAAGATGAGCTTCGCCACAAACTCCGATGCCAGTTAGGCGCACAACGGTGCATCTGCGCCGCTGCTCTGCCCGTCGAGGTGAGTCTCATGCAACTCAAAGGTGTGCATCATCGGTGTTCCGTCGCCGTCAGTTCCTTCAACCGCGACCGTGCGTGTGTGGAGGCTCTCGTGTTTGTGCAGGAACTCGGCAAGGTAACCGCTGTTACCACCGAACGTACCGAAGTCGACGTATCGAGTGCGTAGGATCGTGTCGACCATCTGCAGCACATGCGTGCATTCCACCTGCGGACAAAACATGAACTATCCCGGCATGATTAGTACCCTGTACGTGTATGCACACATTCGCAAGAGGTCAGCGTAATTACGTGTGCTCACCTGGCGACGTTGGAACTTCAGGTTGAGATGGTTCAGTTCCTTCAAGACATCAGCAAAGAAAGACAGGCTGAAGTGAAACTTAAAACTGGTAATGGTGTTATAAGCTTTCCGATCATACTCGTGCGGCATCACGATGGCAGCGGGGAACACATCGACAAGGCGTTGGATGGCGTTGCTGCGCGATAGCCATCTGATGTTGTGTATCCCTTGCATCTCCAGATTGGTGCTGCACACGATTTCTTGAAGCTCTTGGGAATGGGCGTCGACGAAAATCGAGCGACCAAGGATCTCCGCCAGCGATCGCACCACCTTAACGACGATGTTGAAGTCTGGGAAACTCACTGCCGAATCCTTCGCAGCCAGGGCTTCCCTGCACTTGCACAAGCAAACAAAGTTAGTCACACGTAATAGAACGGCAGTGATTAACCAAACCGGGACAACTTACCTGTGAGCGAGATGAAGAATCTTTGATTGCAGGCACGTCACCAGAACACCCTGATCACCAGTCATTACATTTTCTCCATCCGTGCTGATGCCGGCTATCTTCATCATGTCCACGCCCTGCGAGTCCAGATGGGTCAATAGCACTGCCTGCAATGATGCTGCATCACATTTCTCAACAGTAAGGTTAGCGAGAAAATCAGTGACGACGGATCCGTCGCGGATGAAGATTATGTGGGACAATCATGTGTTTGCCACGCCATCTGCTTCGCCCTGAGGTAGGTGATCAGCGTCTCAATCAGCTGCTCGAATCCATACTTGCCAGAAAAAAAAAAAAAAAAAAACATTCTAGGTAGTGAGGTCATGGCGACACAAATAACCCAACAAATTACACGACACGCACGTACTGCAGTAAGTACCGACACCCTTCAATGCACGATGGCCATCAAATGCTTGATACGACGCGCATCCTCCTCGCCGCTCTCGAAGTCAGCAGTAGACTTCTGCATCCTTCCGGCTCCCTCGCGTTGATCCTTCCGGGCATGTGCCGCACCGTGCTTGATGCTGTGGTGTTTCCTGGTTGTCTGCTTCTGAATGGCGACGCCGCCTTCACCGTTGCGACCGTACTGGTAATCATGTTCGCCGAATGCCATGCAAACGGAGCACTTCATGAAAGGCCGCCAGTTGGACATCTCCGATACGATCAGCCATGGAAAGTGACGCTGCCACTGCTCTTTAGCCTTTAGTCGCAGCTCGTCTACTGTAAAAAACTGCGGGTACTTGACATCCTCAGTAGCGGGTTTTGACGAGCCCGGGGCGCTGTCTTCTTCGGCCCTCGCTACAATCGTCTTCACGGGCCGCTGAGTAAACGAAAGCTTGACCTGCTTGTAGTTGGCATTGCCAGCAAATCGGGGTGGGAGGAAAGGGGAGCGTGACTTAGAACATGATGGTGGTTCAGGTAAGCTAGCACTGGCGATGGGGCTCTCTGCTATGGGTTCGATACATGAAAGGCGGGGCAAGGGCGAAACAGCAGGCAAAAGAGGAGTCTCAAACTCATCACGGGTGTCTGGAAAGAGGAGCGGAGAATTCGGCCGATCGGTATTAACTGGCGCTACAGAAGGTGGTTCTACACTGGCCGGGTGATAAACTGCTTTGCCGTTTCTACTCTCATGTAAGCTAGCCCTACGTCCTAAGAAGTCTAGTCCTGTGAGTGGGAGCGATGGTCGTGAGCTGCTGTAGGAGGCGCCTCTGTACTTGAATTAGAATCCATATTGAAAAAACTGACAAAAAAGACGATCAGAGATGGGATGACTGCCCTTCTCATAGGGTGTATAGGTAGGAAGAATGCAGGTGAGTGAGACCATAGTCAAGCCCATGAGAGGAAAAAAACTCGTTGTCTGGGAAATCAGACCAAAATCTACACCAAGTCTGAGAAATCAGATGACATTAAAATTACAAGTCTGACGTTCAGATGGAAATATTAAACCTGTCTACCAAATCAGATGAAACAGAAAGTTTAGGTGCGAAAATCAGATGATCATACCAATTTGGTCTGATAACGGAGACCCTAATGAAGACCGAGCGACAATGACAGTTATCAAAGACGGTTACAAGCAATGTTACAATCTGAAAAGACGGGTTTATAGGATCGTCTCAGGCTGATCGAATAATAGTGTAGCAGCGGAAGTTTGCTAGTAACGTCGGGTACGGACCAGGGCTATTTTTTCGTTTTGAGCAACCCTTGTGATCAGTGTTGCACCTGTTAAAAAACCTGATTATCAGTGTGACACCTTCTTCAAACCCTGGTCCATCAGTGTTTTTCTTGTTTTTGAAAATCCAACCCTGTGGCATCAGTGTACCAGTTTAGCAAACCCTGATGAATTGATATTATCGTTGCACACAATATTTTTTTTAGATCATCATACATGCCACATGGGTGTTGCTCGTCGTCAGTTACTTCAGCAGGCTGAAATTCCGGTTTCAACAGTTGGCAATCGGGAATCCCGGGTTACGGGAAAGGGGGGGGTGGGGGAAGTGGGGGGGAGGGTATGGTACTCGCTTCAGGGTAAAACTCGTTATGAAGAACGGTAACCCTGAGGCATCAGTGTGCCTTAAATGTAAACCCTGGCATATCAGGAAAATCCTAGCTCCACAAAATAATTCCCTAGGCCATCAGTGTGACTACCAAAAACCACCCTGATAATCAGGGTATCAGGGTGATTTACACTGATAAAATTAGCCCTGGTACGGACCCTGTCAGAAGAAGGAGATTTGAATCTCGACATGAGTGACTATTACAATGCGGTACAAGGGTTTATATAGGAATATAGGGGAATGCGAAAGGCCCTAACTAGCCATGTACATTGAGGGGGTACATTCCCCTTAGGGCTAATCTAGATCGGGAATCCCAACCGTGCGGTTCGGTAACAATTCGCGCCACGATAACTGCTTAAATGCATTTCCCGCGCTTGCACTTCGAATTCTTTCTGGTTTCAACCGTCTTCGATAACTGTTTGTGTCGCTCGGTCTTCGTCCTCGCTGCAGTCATCTTCGCGTTAGGGTTTCGTTACTATAGGAATGTTATGCAACAATTCCATATCGTAACACTCCCCTTCATTCCTGGAGGAGCGAAGTCTTGGCCCGCTTGGTTATACCGCAGATGTTTGCGCAGTGCTTGTGCTGCTGACGTGGCAACTTCTTGGTGAGAAAATCAGCTACCATGTCACCGGTGGGACAGTAAGTCAAGATGACTTTGCCCTTGTCAACTTCGTCTTTGAACTCAGCTGCGCAGTCTGTTTGCCAGATCTTGAGGGTGCAGCCAGATTGGGTCTCGGCGTTGCTGTGCCAGACCTTGAATATGTCGCACGCCTTGCTCCTGTGAGTCACGTTTGCCACCCAGACGAAGCGAGAGTGCGCGTCCATGAAGGTAAACGTTTTTGGAGTTTTGTGTAACGGTTTGTGCTGGGCTCCAGGAGCTTGAAGGGCTTGTGGTTGAGTGCGGCTGTGGGGCAAATGGTGCAGTCGGTGTGACGGTTGTTGTCAACAATGACAAGGGAGCCGTCAGGGCGCAGTAGTGTCCCAGGGATGAACACTTCAGCGCGGATGCAGTTGTTGAGCACCTCCTGAGAAGGGTGACCAAGGCGCTTGTGCCAGAGGTCAGGAGGTGCACGCAGTGCGGGTGAGCGTGTGAAGAAGGCGAGTAGTTCAGGGATATTGGTTTGTGCAGGTTTTCAGATTGTAACATGGGTATAATCGAGGACCGGGTATATCATAAGCGCACTGCTCCAGGTTGAAGCGCATGAGCTACGGTATCATCATAGGTATCTGGGGGGAGACGGTCAAATCGTAACCTGCTGGTCTGTGAGGCTTGCCAATAACTTGATGCCTCCCTGTTTTAAAATATGGTGTTGTCTAGAACTGGACTCGAGCTCATACCGTAACACTGCTTGCACCCTTCATGGGACATACGCATTTGAGGAGTTCTATCTACAATAGCTATAGAAATCAAGGCTTCACATACAAGAACGTACCGTAGTGTTCTGCAATACATAAGACACTTACCGGTACCATAACATACTGCACCCCGGAGGGCAAGCGGCACAGTTGCAGGGCTGTAACATGGGCGAGCACCAACTGCAACAGGGCATGTAGGCGGCAGGGGCTGAGAGAGCGAGCAAGACACTCTAGGGCGGGTGCAGGACGAGGTGGCCAAAATGAGCGGCGCCGGGCGAGGAGCCGCGGAAGAGGTGAGGGCAATGCCCCGTGGCACTCTCAAAGCGCCGGCACACTTCCTCCACCGCTGGCTGCGCTGCTGCCGTGCTGTCGCCCAGCACACACACCGTGCCTCCACTGCCACCCCCCGTTATCTTGGCACCCCACAGAGGACCCTGGGGGCGTGGTGCACCGTGGGGGGGCAGGCACGGGGAGGGACGGGTATTGGGAAGGCGTTGGACTCACATGCGCCCCCATGAGCACGACTCACATGCGCCCCCATGAGCCCGACTCACATGCGCCCCCATGAGCCCGACTCACATGCGGCCCCATGAGCCCGACTCACATGCGCCCCCATGAGCACGACTCACATGCGCCCCCATGAGCCCGACTCACATGCGCCCCCATGAGCCCGACTCACATGCGGCCCCATGAGCCCGACTCACATGCGCCCCCATGAGCCCGACTCACATGCGCCCCCATGAGCCCGACTCACATGCGGCCCCATGAGCCCGACTCACATGCGGCCCCATGTGGGTGCGGGCGAGGGCGACGATGAGGTCGGTGGAGGGCGACCCCAGCCCGCACGCCGTGTAGCTCCCATGGCTCTGCTCCCCCACAGTACGGCGTCACACGGGGCAGGGGGGGCGCGGAGGGAGCAAGGGGTAAAAGTCGGCAACCTGTGAAAAGTGCCATGAGCAGGGACTTGATGGTGAGGGGGCAGTGGGATGAGGAGGCAGTGGGATGAAGGAGGCAAGATGGGAGAGTTGAGGGAAGAGCGGTGATTCTAGAGGCTGTGGCATGTGGCGAGGGACCACAGAGGGGCAACAGAAAGTGGTGCAGGGAAGCAGTTATGGGGACGTACTTGCATCATCAGCTCCCCCAGCAATGCCATCTGCTCACGCCTCCCTCCGCCTGACACAGCCCTCCCACCCCCATCCGTCCCCTCATCCCCATCCCCTTCCCCACCTCCCCCCTCACCCTCTTTCCCCCCCTCCTCGCCCCCCACGCGTGTGAGCAGCAGGGAGCGGAAGCAGCGCGTGCGGAAGTGGTCCATGACGGGGTGGCGCGAGGCGGGCAGCACGGGGTGGGGCAGGGCGGGAGCCACGGTGGTGGCGGGGTCGCCATGGGAGGCGTGGCGGGCGAGGAAGGCGCTGCCGTGCATGGTGAGGGGCAGTATGGGCTCCAGTAGGGGCAGGCTGGCATGGGCGGGCAGGGGTGGATGGTGTGGGGGTGTGGGTTTAAGAGGGTGGGGGGGGAGGGGGGCAGGGATGTGGGTTGGGGTGAAAGGGACGAAGGGAGAGAGGAGAGGGAGGAAGAGTGTAGGCAAAGGAGGGGGGGAGGTTGGCAGTGGGGGCAGGGAGTGTGGAAGAACTGGGTGAGGGGAGTGAGTGAGGTGAGGGGCAGGATATGTGATGGCAGGACAGAAGAAATGTTTGGAGCACCTGAACGATCACCTGGACTATTACCTGCCCGGCCACCTAACCAACCAGCTGACAATCGCATGAATGAGCACCTGTGCAATTACCTGTGTGGCTCCAGTTCACATAAGCATGAGAGAGGTTGTGTTGCCGTTGGTGCGGATGTATCCGGTGCTGCAGTGGCGCTCTCCTGCTGGCATGGCGGCATGCAGTGAGATGCAACCAAAGGCACACGCACATACGCACGCGCACACATGCACGGACGCACATGGAGAAGGGAGCAGGGGGTGAATGGAAGCATGCACGTGGAGTGCTTTGGACACTAAGGAACAGGGAGGAAAGAGCACAGCCATGTGCACCCATGAAGAGCTGAATGGAACAGCACCGCCATGCACCGCACCGCACTGCCCCGCACAGCACAGCACAGCACAAACTCACATCCTCCTCCCTGCTCTGCATTCTCGCGGCGTTAATGAGTGTGAGTCCCATGAACGCCGCTGCCCTCACACCGCTGTACCCCGCCCCTCCCACGCTGTGCCGTGCGCCCGAGTCGATGCCCCACAGCGCCACGTGTGGGGGCAGCGCCAGGCTGCCCTGCACGGTGGCCGGGCGGCACAGCAGCGCGAGCAGCGAGGCGGGGCGGGCGAGGGTGACGGCCATCTGGTCCATGATGCCGCAGGGGGCGCCCACCACGCTGTTCTCCACCTGAGGGGGTGGAGGGAGGAAGGGAGGGGGGAGGGAGAGGGCACTTTTCAGGCGCCTCAAAGGGGAACGTGACAGCCATCTGGTCCATGATGCCGCAGGGGGCGCCCACTACACGGTTCTCCACCTGGTGGGAGGGGGAGGGGAGGGGGGTAGGGGGTAGGTGGGAGGATGTATGGCGAGTGGATATGTCAGGGGATGCGCAGGCAAAAGGGCCTGGAGAAAGAGAAGGATCGGATGGGCGAGTGGGGAGCGTGCGGTGAATAGCGGTCGTGGCTAGGGGAGTGGTGGTGTGAGCAAACTTGTGTGTGTGGAAGATGCCAGTGCAGTGAGAGGGGGAAGGGCTAAGGGGATTGCAGCAGGAGAAACACAGAGGCATGGCATGGGTATGGGGACGTACGATTTGGCACATGCGGGCGAGGTGCCAGGGGGCCACGTGCATGCCCAGAGCATGCACGAGAGCCATCATGCTCGCCACCTCCACCGCTGCTGACGACGCCACGCCCACCCCCTCCGGTACATCCGATGCCACCACCACCGCCACCCCCTCCACCCTCCCCAACGCCCCACTCTCTCCCCCGCCCCCCTGCCCTTCCCCCTGCCCCTGCCCCGGCTCCCCACCCATCCATGCCTGGCGGAACTCCGCCTCTCTCTCCCTCGCCAGCACCACCAGCGCCCCCGCTACATACGCTGCCCACTGTGTTCCCCCCACCCCTCCCCCTCCCCCTCCCCCTCCCCCTCCCCCTCCCCCTCCCCCTGCGCCACCCTCTCTGCCCTCTGCGCCCTCCCCTCCGCCTTCCTCCCCCGACTCTCTCGCCTCTGCTGCCCCATCCGCCCCCCCACCGCCCGTGCCTGCCCCCCCCACCAGCAGCGCGTGGGCGGCGGCATAGCCGAGGGCGCAGGGGGCGGAGAGGGGGGGCGAGGCGTAGAGGCCGGGGAGGAGGCGGGCGAGGGGCAGGGAGACGGAGGGCACGCGGTGGTTGGCGGCGGCGGAGAGGGACACCATTTGCAGTGAGGGATGGCGCGCAGGGGGCGTGGGGGGCGTGGGGGACGTGGGGGGCGTGGGGGACGTGGGGGACCCGGATGGGGGCGCGCGGATGACCTGAATGGCCACGTGGCACGCCTCTGCTGTTGGCATCTGGTGGGGATGGGAGCGGGAGGGGAGGGGAGGGGAGGGGAGGGAGGGGCGATTGAGATGCAGGATAGGCAAGCAAGCTTGAGCCGGAGCCCACTTGAGGCGCACCTGAGGCGCACCTGAAGCACGAGCGAGCCGGAGTAGTCAGCAATGCCGCCCATCACATCCAGGCGCCCCGGCGCTCTGGTTACCACCAGCGGCTTCGACCAATCAAAGAGCTCCGCCGCCAGCGCCAGCTCGTGGCGCTCGCTGTCGTCACATGCCGTTGCGCCGCCAGGCGGCGGGACTGCGCGGCGTGTGGGCGTGGAGGAGGGGGAATGTGGGGGAATGGGGAAGGGGCAGAGAGAGCGTACGGGGAGGGAAGGCACGGCTGAAGCAACAGGCGCAGCGAGGAGAAGGGGGACGGGCAGTGGGAAGGAGAGCGCAAGGGAAGGGGAGGTGAGCGTGGAGGCCGAGAGGAAACATGTTGCCCACTCGTCTGTACAACCCACGCGCCACTCGCGCACGACACGCCGCAGCGCGTCACGCACCGCCGGCTCGGAGCGCGTTGAGCAGCGCGAGGAAGCGCTTCGTGTCGGGCAGGCCGCGGTCGTCGCCCTCCACGCGCATGGCGCCGCGCGGCATCCCCGCGATGCCCGCGGAGTGCGCACGAGTCGCGCTGTCGTGTGCGCCCAGCCGGCACTTCGCTGGCGGGTGGGGGTTGGCGGATGATGGGGCGGTGCAGGCGGAGATGGGTGCGCGCGGTGAATGGCGATGCTATCGCCCCTCGCGCTTACTAATGTTGAACGATTGACTTCTACACTATCCCCAATTCTGATTACTAATCTTGTGCAATTTATTGTCTAGCCTGTTCACTTCATTGCATTAGTTCTGAATGGCAAGCGAGGTGAGAGAACCTTTATAATTTAAAATAACATTACACGGCGGTATGAGTGAGACAGACTGCATTGCAGTAGTGGGGTGGGTGGGAGACAGATAGCTATTGCTCATGGCCCATGTCCCACCCCACCACTCGCTCTTCTCATCACACGCGGGGTCCCTGTGCTTCACCCCATGCCATGCCATGCCATGCCATGCCAGGGTGGCCTCCTAGAGTGAGTGGCACAGCAAGTCGTCAGGTCAAGTCAGGCGGCTGCGTGGCAAGCTGTACAGGAGGCAGCGACCTGGGAGGTGGGTGGTGGTGGGTGAGAGTGGCACCAGGGAGTGGCACACGTGGCAGGCAGGCACTGGCAGGTGGGCTTGTCAGGCAGCAGCGCGGTAAGCTGTACAGGGAGGTGGTTGCAACGCGTGCACTCGTGCTGGGCAGTGAGAGTGAGAGAGCAGTGGGGAGTGCCACACGCACACGTGGGAGAGTTGCTCCATCCGGGGGAGCACACGAGGGGTGTGCTTCCCCGCCATCTGCTGCACGCTCCACTGCCGGGAGGTGGGGTTCATGGCCACTGCAGGCTCACAGGCTGTCGTCTGACGCCACTGACGGGCCCTTCTGCTGCTTCTCTCGCCGCTCCTTCTGCTTTTGACGCCTCTCCTTCTCCCTCTCCCTCCTCTCCTTCTCCTTCCTTCTCTTTTCTTCTCGCTTTCGCTTCTCCTCCTCCTTCTGCGTCTCCTGTGCCTTCTCCTCATCTGAATCATCCCCGCCAACGCTGCTGTCACTGTTGTCACTGCTGCTCTCACTGCTCGCATCACTTGTACTCTCACGGAACCCCATGAGCCGCTGCATGCCCACCACAGCGCGGCACCACCACTTGCGCCGGTCACACGCCATCACGCGCACCTGCACGCCCGCCCCTCCATTACCACCGTCCCCCCCATTCTCCCCTTCCCTTCCGGCGCTCTGCTGCAGCAGGAATTGAGCGACAGCAGCGCGCACGAACACGCCCGCCTCGTGCTGCAGCAGCGAGGTGACAAATGAGTCGATGGCGGCGGGCGGCACGGGCACGGGGGTGAGGGCAGCAGCGATGGCCACCATGTCCTGCTGCAGCGCTGTCAGCGCCGCACTGCCGTTGTATGTGTAGGGCACTGCCGTGGCCCCCAGGGACGTCACTGGGGGCAGCGTCCCTGCCGCACACACAGGCACATGCACAGGGAGACAGGGCAGATGCGAGTGGTGTGTGAGGCAAGGCAAGCGGTGTGGCAGTGGGGAGAATGGGATGGGTGTGCCAGTGGGGAGCATGGGATGGGTGACATGGCATGAACGGGGTGCATGGATGGAGGGTGGCGTGCAATGCAGCACAAGGCTGTGCCAGGGCGACTGCGAGGCGAGATGTAGGCCTACCAGCAGGCGGCATGCTCAAGTGGTGACACGTGCATGGTTGAACCACACAGCCCCATGCAAGCACACAGCCTTGAGCACATGCAGCGAGGGGAATGCTCACGGGGGCAGTGGGCGAGGGGAATGCTCACGGGGGCAGTCGGTGCGGGGCGAGGAGCGCAGGGAGAGGAAGGGCAGGAGCGAGCCCGCCCAGGCGTCCCTGGCGGTGAGCACGTCCTGCTTGGACGTGAGCCCGAACACGTCCCTCAGCGTCGCCGCCACCGACGTGTGCTCGAACTGCGATGTCGCGTACGGGCCTCGTGGGCGGTGGATGACTGGCGGGCAGAGAGAAAGGGGAGGGGAATCGGAAGGGGGGATAGGAGGAGTGGAGGAGGTGGGGGAGAGGGGAGAAGGTCGGATCAGTGGCGGAGAAGGGGGAGGGGAAAAGCGGATGAGTGGAGGAGCGGGGGAAAGAGGGGAACATAGGTTGATTGGAAAAATGGCGTTGGAGAGAAGTGCTGATGAGTGGCGGCAGAGAGGGGGAGGGGAGGGCGGATGAATGGCGGAGGGGACAGACAGGAAAAGGGGGAACAGGGAGCGGGGGGGAGCGGAGGGGGGCGCGGGGGCGCACCCATGCCTTTGTCGACCCAGGGCGAGATGACAAAGGTGGGCACGCGCACGCCGAGGCGGCGGAAGTTGAAGCCGTCCTCCTCGCCCACCACGCCGTCGGGGGACGGCACGCCCGCCATGGGCGGAGGCACGTGGTCGAAGAACCCCCCGTGCTCGTCGTACGTCACGATCAGCAGCGCGTGGCGCCACTGCGGCCCCGCGCGCAGCGCCTCGTACACGTCTTTAATCAGCTGCTGCCCGTGCCGCACGTCGTGCCCGGGGTGGTCGTCGTTGCCCGGCTCGCGCGAGAAGTCGAAATACTGCGGCTCCACAAACGAGTACGCGGGCAGCCGCCCCAACCGCGCCTGCGCGTAGAACAGCTCGATCGGGCGGAACCTGCGCGCGTGCTTGCGGCGGCGCAGCGAGGAGAGCGCGAGCGACGCGGGGATGTCGTGGTAGAAGATGCCGAAGGACACCTTGCGGCGCGAGAGCACGTCGAAGATGGTGCGCGCGGGGAAGCCCGCGAGCAGCACGGGCTTGCGCTCCGCCAGGAGCCCCTTGGACGTGGCGGCGTGCAGGAAGTAGCGGTTGGGATGGGTGGGGCCCGGTACGGACGAGAACCAGCGGTCGCACACGGCGAAGTTGGTGGCGAGCGCGGTGGTCACGGGGAGCGCGGCGGGCGGAAAGGCGGACATGACCTCCGCGGAGAACCCTTTTCGCAGCTCCTCCGCCTGCTGCGCGAATCCGCGCATGAGCCGAGAGGAGGCCTGCGAGAGGTAGTAAGGGCGGTGCAAAGGGGGCAGATGAGAGGGCGTTGAACGGGAGCGGAGTAGCGGAAGGAGAGGACATGCGGGGGGTGGTACGGGAGGCAAGGGGGACACGGGAGAATCTGCGGGAATGAAAGTGAAGCGGGGCAGATGCGGGAGGGGCGATAAGGATCGGCAGCGGCGGGACGGACGCCTTAGATTCCCTGCGATGGGATAGGGCGAGGTTTGGCAGCGAGGAGAGGAGGATCGGATAGGTGAAAGGTGATGACACGCAATCGGGGGGACGGACCAATTCGCGGGTGGCGGCGCGAGGATGAGCACGTTTCTCACCTTGGCTACGGATCTTCCGCCGAAGATCTGATCGCGAACGCCTTTGAACGAGTGGTCGGGATCCTCGCTGTTGTTGTACCGCGCTCTATCGTTAATGCACACTTGCTCGAACGTCACCGAGTTGCCGCCCGAATCGCCCGACCGTCCCGACTCTCCCAACTCGCCCGAATCGCCAGAATCGCCTGGCGGGGCCGGCGGATCCGCGTCGCGGGCCTTGGCGACAACGGGGTTGCACTCGGAGCCATCGAGACCGTCGATTTCGGCGTTGCGGGGCTGCAGCCATCCCAGCACATGATCGAACGAGCGGTTCTCCATCATCAGCACCACCACGTTCTTGATGCGCTCCGACGCCGTCACGTGGCAGCTGATGACTAGGCAGAGCATCGAGAGACCGGATAGGGTGGCACGGCGGCGGAGGCGAAAGCGCCGCGGTGGCCGCCATTGCTGGGGCATCGCTGAGGTCTAGGCCGGAAATAGAGTATCGCCGTGTGAAAGCAAACAGCTGCTTTACTTGGAAAGCTTTGATGCTGGACTTTAACTTTCGACAACCGCGATCTACGAACGAGGACACGTGGGCAATTCTGTTATAAATGACTCATTGGAGGTTTGAAGCTACTCAACCCCATCATTAGAGGTAAGTTGGCTGGCCTGCGTTGAAAACGAAACTGAGTCGACGAATAGCACACAGGGAACTCCCCAATTCCTGCACTTGCCTATTCGGTGAATACAATTCCGCATGTCTCACCAGCAGCCAACACCATCCGCAAGGGCGCTTCTTGCGCTGGGGGCTCAAGCAGGTTACCCTGTCCTTCTCGCGCTTCAGCAAGTGCGTCAAAAGGAAAGGCAGCTGCAAATCTTCAGCTTCAAGTGTCACCGTGCAGCCGTGTTTCTTGTATCCTACCCTGCCCGGCCGCTAGTCTGCCTCAGGTCGCCTCTGTTTTGAGGCGAACAAGGGTGGACGAAAAATATTTCGAAATCGCTCCACCCCGGCCCCAGCTCTCCTCGAATTGGTTGGTTTCAGACAAAAAACACTTTCAGCAGACCGTGGCCGCCGCCCTCTTCCCCTCACGAGTCGCGCCGCTCTGCGACATATTACGATCGCGAAAGGGTCGTGAGTTTGTGAGTCGCCAACCATCAGGCCGGGGCGAACATGGACGAACTAGACAAGCAGTTTCATTGCGAGAGTGACGAACAGCCAGGCACGTGAGTGCGATCGCGTCTGAAGATTCTGTGGTGTCGTGGCAACTCTCTGTTCACGCCACACTACGGAACCAACCTCCCTCCCCCACTACCCACCCCCTCCCTCGGTCCAGGCAAAACAGTCGGCCACTATGGAGGCAAAAAAGAGACCCCAATGGCACTTATAGCAGAGTAAACATGATTACCTAGCCATATATACACATAATAAATAGCTGGGTGGCAACCCAATTGTCAGCTGTCTACTTGTTCACTGTACAATCATTCCAGTGAAAGAATTGCATGGCGTTGAACATGATAGAAATCTCAAATTTATGTGGCAGTGCTGATGTGGCGAGGCGACCCGCTTTTAGGGCAGCGCTGATAGAAACCTCTTGTCAGGCTTGCCTGATAAAATTCACGAAGGATTTCGGGTTTAAGGAAATTTCAGTGTGTTGTGACGCGAGCCTGATAAGAGGTTGGCCTGATAAGGGGCCGTAGGAACATGCCCTTGTTCAACCACTGCATCAAGGCGCTGTGCAACAGCGCAAGCACGCTGGCAGTCAGGCACAGGGTGGCGGTCAGGCAGCAGGACAGGCCGTTCCCACAACATCAGGAATGACCACAATTACCCTGATCCACCAGTTCCCAACCGTGCATCCGCCTCAGGCCACAGTGTGCTGCTCACAGCCCTGCACCTGCTGAGCTGCTGGGATCTGTCTGGCAGACTGAGGAACTGTTCAAGGCTGACTGTGACCGGGAGTGTGAAGGTGACCGAGGGCTGTTAACTGCCCTTGGGCCAGTGACGAGCCGTGGGCTGCTGTGCGGGGCAGTGAGGGCCTTTTGACTAGGGATGGCCCTTGGACTAGCAAGACTTGTGGACACGTCTGCTCCCCTCCGCCGCCCCATGCCAGACCTGCCAGCTGTTGGGCTGTTCAGTGGGGAATGATGGAGGTGGGAGAAGGTGGAGGAATGGGTGCGGTGGTGAGCTGGGGAGAGGGGCGAGCAGGAAGGGGCAGGGGTGGCAGTGCCGCGTGCAGAGTGCGCCCTGCGTGGAATGGCTAGTCTTGGAACCTCACCTTCCGCCTCATCCTCCCCATCCTCCTGCTGCTGATGCTGTGGCTGGACAAGGGAGTGTGTGCGTGCTTCCGTGGGGTTGCACACGGGGGGAGGAAGCACCACACTGCACGTCCCGGGGGCACACCCCAATCGTGGAGAGGGGGTCGCGCTGTGACTGTATCGACTGTGATCCTGTACGCGCTCAGGTAGCTGTGCCCTGCCGCTGAACCCCCTCACATCACCTGCCACATCGCCCCCCTCCCCCCTCACAGCGCCGCCTCCTACCCGCTCCCCGGCAGTGCATGATGCTGCTACTCCCCCGCAGCCAGTGTGGCACTTCAACTGTGCAGAGGCGGCGCTGGGCGGCGCCTGGCTGTGCGGCGTGGGGCTGGGCAGTGCCTGGCTGGGCGGCGCCTGACTGGGCGGTGTGGGCCCGAGCGGCGCCAGGGCGCGAGCCACAAGGCGCCACATGGGCACACCTGCCTCTTCCATAGGCATCCCGTCGTGGACACGCTGCCACATGGCAGCATCTGATTGGCCGCCAAACGATGCCCGCCGTTGCGGCTGCCTGTTTCTCAAGATCACATCCCGTCCTTGCAGCAACCGCTCCCCTCTCCCCACTTTCTGTGTTCCCCACTCTTCCTCCCCTTCTTCCTCCCCCTCACCCTCCCCCCTCTCCCTGTCCCCGCTCGCCTCCGACACCCACTTCTCTCGCCACCCCATCACCTCACACTCCTCCTGCCCCCTGCCCCCACTTTCGCCTCTCCCCCACTGCCGCAGCGGCTGCTCCTCGAGCAGGCGTGCTGGCGGGCAGCTACGGGGCGCGGGATGGGTGGGAGAGCGGGGGAAGGTGAGGGGCAGGAGGGGGAAGGGCAAGCGGGTATGGTGGGCGGTGGAGGGGGAGAGCTTCGAGTGCAGTTGCGAGGGCGGGCGGTGGAAACTGCGCGCGCGAGCAAGGTCCGCCGCCTCTTGCGCCATTGGCGCATCGGACTCGCGGCGGCGGGCGGGCGGATGGTGGAAGCTCGCCGCGCGGGGAAGGTCCGCCTGGTCGTGGGAGGCGTACTGCGCAGTGCGCTCAGGAATGCAGGGGCGCGGAGACGAGTGCGCGCTGGGCGCGCGCGGACGGGACGCCTGGAGCAGGCGCGGAGAGGCGGAGGCGGAGGGAGGAGGGGAAGGGGCGGTACGTGCAGAGCGCGGGTGTAGCAGCCGCGGGGATTCAGCGCAGGTGGAGGCGAGCGGGAGTGCGGACGGGCAGGCAGCAGCAGCGGAAGGAGCGGGTGGGGAGGACGCGAATGAGGAAGGCGTGGCAGCAGCGGAGACAGCGGACGCTGCGGGCGAGTCAGCAGCCGCGGCGGTACGGTCGTTGACGGCCTGCGCGGCCCTGACGGCAGCATGGGTGGCGGAGGTGCCAAGGCAGGTGTGGAGGCCGCACTGAGAGGGAAGGATGAGCGACGGCGGGCGTGGCCCGCGCATCTGCACGCCGTGGGCTCCCCCTGCTGCTGTTGAGGCGGCAGGGCGAACGCGAGCGAGCGGGCCACGGCTGGCGGGAGCACCGGCATGACCGGCGGAATGGACAGCGCTTGCGTCAGGGGTACCTTGGAATGCCGCCCGCTCGGGGTGCGAAGAATCGCGGTGCGCTGACGGACGAATTGCGCTCAGGACTTTCGGCGTGACGAGATTCGGCGAATCTTGCGCCTTGGAGGAAGTTGATGCGTCGCCGCGTGGAGAGCCAACGAGCGCGGTGTCGCGCTGCAGGCGAGTCGGCGGCACGGCGCCACGTCGACACCCGGAAAACGCGCGCCGTTGGCTCTCCATCGTGCGCCCATTGCCGGGAGCAGCTCCATGCGCAGCGCCAGATGGTAACCGCGGCGATGGAATTCTTGGCGAAAAGGCTGGCGAAGAACCATGTGGCGAAATGTTTCCACCAGGCGAGAAAACCCTGGGCGAAAACGTGGGCGAAAGATCGCCGTCGCAGGTGCTGGGCGTGGCGGGGAACGAGAAGCCGTCCCAAGAATTCGACGCCGCCTCAGTTTCGCCGATGCCTTCTGTCGCGAGTGTGACTAAAGCGGGGTCAACAGTGAGCGAGGGAGGGCCAGACGCTCGCGACTCGAGCACGGACGGACGAATGGGCGCCGGCGTGCCATGCCGCGAGCCTAGGACCTGGCGACGATGCTTCTGATGGCGACGATCCCTGACGACGGATTCGGGCGACAGCGACGGCACCTGGTCCTTGGGACTGACCGCGTGCATGCCCGCCTGCATGCACTCCCTTTGCGCGGGCTGGGAAGATAACGAAGGTTGGATAAGATCCATTGAGAGCTCCTAATTGCGATAGTATGATCGAATCTAGAAGCATTCTCCAACTCTTGACTACGGGGGCGTGAAACATGCGGAAAGTCGCTGAAACTGCGGATTGTTGCTCTATGCGAGACGGGTACCAAGTCTGCTCCTAGTGTGCGGTTGCGGTACCTAGGCAGCGAGGCCGACAGTTATGGCAAGATGGCCAGGTTTGCCTTGTGAGCTGTACGCTATGTGCCCACTGCCGCACCACACGGCGGTGGCTGGATTGTATGGGCTGCGGGGTGCGGACGAAGGGGGGTGGGTGCTGCTCACCGCTCGTGCGTCACTGCCCTCTGGGTTGGGCGGTCACATCACATGGAATCCAAATTCCTGTGCGTGTGATCTCACCGTCCGCTGAGCAGCACACTGCAATGTTGACGGTCAGGATGGTCGGGGCAAATAGCCCAGCGCAAGGTGAAACTTGTTTTGTTTGGGGCTGACAAGGCAAGGGTGGGGGACGGAGGGATGCATCCCAGCCACAGGGCGAGCGGACTGCTCTGCGTGGCTGGAAGCAACGGAAGGCAGGTGTGGGCGCGACTTGCTGACATGGAGGCGGGTGTGTCAGGTTCGCGATGGTTCGAACACAAGTTTGACGTGGCACACAATATGGCTGACGGAAAGTACGAACGGCGCGCCGAGCCAGCTTGGTTTGGGGCGCCAAATTCCCTTTCAAGTGAAGTCAAATAGCGCAGAAGATTGTCTTCCGAGTTATTTTTTGTTGCGATCACGAATCACGGGATGTGGAGCATCGATGGGGCACAGCGTACAGTATATCGAGTTAGGTGCTGCTTGATGTGTGACAAGCCAGGCAGCACATGTCATCCAAAGGATGCAGATTCCAAGCGTCAGAATCAGGCGGCAACAGCCGTCCATAATGCTCGCCATCGACGGCCCTGCGAGCCGTGTTCCATCGCTGCCTGATGCGCGTCAACGGCGAGATGCGCCTGACCTTCCAGATCCGTGGCGTTTCATGGGTCCTCCTCGTCCTCCTCGCTCTCCTCACCGCCACGAGCTCCGAGACGCGCTGGGTCGCGGCTTGCTTATCAACCACTGCATGGGAGCGAGGATCAAGGGAAGATGCGACAAGGAGGATGCGCCATGCAGGCAGGCATGGGGATTTCAGGGTTGCCCAGACCCCTCCGAGCAGTGATTGCTAGCTTAGAAGGTCGTACTCTCACTCTCCTATCCTTCGGTGACCAGGAGATTGCGTTTGACAACACGATCGTTAAACAATGTGCTAGTCTTACCGCGACCAACGCAACGGGCTTCCTTCGTTGTCCCCTCTCCGCGTCCACCACCTCAATTTCCACTTGTCAGCTCCACAGCCTGAGCACGCGCTCACCGAATCGTGACGACAGCATCGCGGAGTTAGCGTGTGGCAGAGAATGGCGGCGAGCCGTGAGAGAAGCGCGCTGCCGCCCTCCGTGACTGAGGCGGATTCAAACGGATCGGCGCGAACAGCCGGCGAAGAGCGACGAGCCGAGGAGCGGCGCCCCGCGGAGATTGCGGGAAGCAGTGCGCCGCCCGCCGTCCGCGCAGCCGGCGATGCTCGCCTGTTGAGGTCATGCTTCGACGGACTGGCGCGCGACCTCGACCACGCTCTTCGCGCGGCCGCGTCGCCGTCGGAGGAGCACGACGCCATCGCCTCCTGTCTGCTCGTTGCAAACGCGCTGTGCGACTGGCCGGATAGCGACGCGGCGCGGCCGCGCGAGGCGTTCGGCTTCCGCGTGCTGCGCAGCATGCCGTGCGACACCGAGTCGCTTCGTCTGCGAGGCAAGCCCCGGGGTTCAGGTGCTGAGCGGGAGGTGCGCGGCGAGAGGCGGGCGAGGTGGGGGCAGCAGAGGAGTGCTGCAGTATGCTGAGCAGAGCAAGCGCAGGGCTGGCGTGTGTGCTGCTGTAGGCCCTAGTAGTTGAGTGCGTATCATCTTCTCTTCCCTGCCGCCCTCACCGTGTCACTCGCCTCCAGCCCAATGTGAGGCGCGCCCCCGTTCTTTAAATCAAGCCTTTGCCGTTCACTCTCTCATCGTGCCCCCCACGCCCTCCTCTCCTCCTCCCCTCCGCCCTCGCCCTCGCGCCCTCCCCTTCCGCCCCCTGCAGACAAGTATTTCCTGATGGATAACAGCACACGGCGCGCGACGTATAATCCGTTTAACGGCTTCTGCGGGACCAAGGCCAGCTCGCAGAACTCCGTCATCGCCACAGCGCCCCCCTCGCTCTGCCCGCTGCTGCCCGCGTGCCTGCGCGCGCCCTTCCGCACGGAGCTGTTGGTGGCATCGACGAAGTTCGACCGCAATCCCAAGGTGCGCCGCGCTGCAAAGCACGGCACGGCACGGCACAGCACAGATTTTGAACCCGACCGCAAACACAAGGCACAATGTCTCTCACTCTGCCGCACGCCACTGCACGGATCTCTTGAACCCGACCCACGACCTCCCTCACTCGGTCCTTGCTCACTCATGAGTGACTGTCTCTCCAGCGCCTTTCATGCCGCACTGCTCCTTGCCCTTCCCACCCCTCCACCACTATCCCCGCCCTCCCCATTCGCCATCCTTGCTCCCATCCCCAATGCTGCCCATCCCAGAAGCGGCGGTCGGAAGGTGGCATGGTGCCACGGCAGGTCAGCCAGGAGGAAGCAGAGCAGGTGAGAGAGCGGTTCACGTCACGGGCACCTTGTCAACACTGTGCCATGCCCGCCTCCCCCCTCACTACGCTCTGCTGTCATCGTGCGTTCACTTGCCCTCGTCTCCCTTCCAATTCAGTCGCCGCCTCAACTCACCAGTCCACGGTGCGTCTCGTTCCCCTCACCTCTTTCCCTTCCCCCCCTCACCTGCCCGTCGCTGCGCCCAGCTTCACGCGCTCAAGGCGCACAGGTTCTACCTGCTCCTCAACCACCCACTTGCGCACCGACGCCTCGCAGCACACAGCAAGCCCCTCAGACCGAAGTACTGGCAGCCGCTCTCCCTCGCCCTCATCTCCTCCTCCGACCCCTCCCACGCCCCACGTCCTCATTCCGCCCCCCTCGCCTCCCCCTCTCCCACCTCCCCTCATGTGCCTGCAGCCCTGCCTGCACCCACCACTGCGCCTGCACCTGCCACTGCACCTCCCCCTCCTGTGACCAGCGCGAGGGAGCTGTACTCTCACGTGAAGGCGTACCTGGCAGGGCGCGCTGGGGGGAGTGGCAGTGGGGGTGATGGCAGCGGGGAGGGCAGTGGGGAGGAGGAGGCGCAGGCCATGTGGCGTGTGGTGCGGGCATGCGGGGTGGAATCAGTAGGAGAATTGAGTGGCGTGGTGGACGAGAGGGGATGGACCCCCATGCATGTGGCTGCACGCAATGGTGACTCCCCCGTGGTCAGTCTCTCATGCATGCACATGCCTGCTCACCCGCACCCGTGGAGCACAAACAGACACCCCTACCCATCACACTCCCCCACTTTCCATCATCATCATCATCATCATCATCATCATCATCATCATCATCATCATCACCACCACCACCACCACCACCACCACCACCACCACCACCACCACCACCACCACCACCACCACCACCACCACCACCACCACCACCACCACCACCACCACCACCACCACCACCACCACCACCACCACCATCATCATCATCATCATCATCATCATCATCATCATCATCATCATCATCATCATCATCATCATCATCACCATCATCATCATCATCATCTGTGTGCCTACATCGCTCTCCATCCCACCAGCATGCACTTGTGTGCACTTACGCACATAAGCTTGCTTTACGTTCACACTACCTCCCTTCCCTCTCCCCCCTGTTGCTCCCCCATGCATGTGCCTGCAGCTCCAGGCACTGTTGCGCATGCGCATGCGGGCGGGGGTGTGCAGCACACGCAATGCCACCACGCCACTGCACCTGGCGGCGTATGGCGGCCACGTGGGCTGCATGGGCCTGCTGGTGGAGTATGGTGCTGACATCCGCGCTCGCACTGCTGGCGGCTGTGAGTTCCTGGCGGCTCTGACTAGTTCAATGTGAGATGGTTGAAAGTGCTTTGGTTGTCTCATACTCGACCAGCGTACTTTCCTTGCTCTCTTGCCTTCGAGTTCACCCTATCTACCCTGCTGTGCCCTGCTGCGTGCATCTGTCTGCCTCCGCTTCTTCTTTGGAATCCGCTTTCTTTCTCCCCCCCGTATCCCACCGCCTCCTGTCATCCACCCACCACTCTCCGCCCTCCCCCAGGGACGCCATTGCACAACGCAGCGAAAAAGGAGCAGTGGGAGGCGGTGAGGTGGCTGGCGCAGCAGGGGATAGACCCCGCAGAGGTGGAAAGACCGGGGGCCAACCCCAAGGCGGACAGGCTGGACGAACACCTCATGGCAAGGGCGGTGCAGATCGTGCGGGAGGAACACGAGAGGCACGCGGGGCATGAAGGGAGGGAAGGGCTTGGGTGGGAGGAGGAGGCTGGTGCAGGTGCTAGCTGGATGGAGTTTCTTCTTGATGATCACCATGACGGCGCATGACTGCCTGCTTGCTCCCACTGCTCAGTGGCAAAACAGAGGAAGACTGGACAGGGTCTAAGGGTACATTCCTGTGGAGACACTTGTGTCTCAATCCTTTTGTGACGCGTAAAAACAGCATAAAACGTACAATGTCACAAACGCGTGTCGCCTTGTGCGACCTGTCAAATTGCAATTGTATCTCTAGGCTACAGTAGGGTCACTCCTTAGTGAGTACAACACTTTAGGGTTAGCTTCCCCTACTTGTACTCACCTCTTGCCTAGTTCAATCATCACTTCCTAGTTCTATTCTTGACATGATATCAGAGTAGGAACCGTTCCTACATGGGCCCACCGTTCCGCCTAGTAGTGGCGCCACGCCCTACACAGTAGCTAGCGTTTTGGCGCCCCCGCTCTCACTATCGCGACAGTTCCTAAACGGCCCGCGCGGCCTGACGTTTTTTCTCCCGGAGTCGCGACCCCTCCTGACCGCGCCCTAGCTGCCCCGTGCGCCACTCGCGCGGCCCGTCAGCCTCTGCGCCCGGTCCCCCCTCGTTCCTGCTGCTGCGCGCGCCACTCGCGCTGCCCGCCAGCCCTTAGCGCGCACCTGCTGCGCGCCCCTTTAGAGCGGCACCACGCGCACCTGTTGCGCGCCCCTCGCTTGCAAGCCCACGGCCCGCGCGCGCCCTCTGCTGCTGCGCGCCGGCTGCTGCTGCTACGTGCCGCTGCTGCTCCGCCACTGAGCCCGAGCCGCGCCGCCCATTTCGAGCCGCGCCGCCCTGCCGAGCCGCGCCGCCCAGTCCGAGCGGCGCCGCCCTGTCCGAGCCGCGCCGCCCAACCCGAGCTGTCACTGCTACTGCTGCTGCTACTACTGCTGCTATGGCTAACCTGTCAGTTCTTACGTTCGATGCTGAGGGCCGTGCGATTTCCTTTGATGTCTGGCTCGACGATCTCCAGCTGTTCCTGCAGAGCGAGTCTAAGGATGGTATTTCCCTGTTTTTGCACACTGAGGGAAAGCTCCCAGCCCCTGCTGCCGACGCTGTAGATGATCTGTCTAAGTGGCTCATGCGTGATGCAGCTGCCCGCCTTGCTGCCCGCAACCACTTGCCCGTCACTGAGCGCGCGCACTTTAGCCGGCAGAAAACGGCCAAGGATCTCTATGACGCTGTCGTTGCTCGCTACTCCTCCCCAGCTACTGCTGCTGTAGGGCGTCTCATGCTGCCGTACCTGCATCCCGATCTATCTGAGTTCCGCACTGTCTCTGACCTGTTCACCTACCTCCGCTCTAGTGAGGATCGCTTCCGTGCCGCTCTCAAGCCGGCCTTTCTCGCTAAGAACCCCCCCCCGCAGTACTTCACCCTGCACTTTCTCATCACTCGCCTCCCTGACTCCCTTCGCACTGTCAGGGACCAGTTCCTAGCCATGGACCCCACTGAGCTCACACTTGACTCTCTTGAGCAGGCCCTTCTCGAGGCTGAGAAGAGCACTGTCGCTGTCGCTGCCTCTCGTGGCACTCCCCGCTCCCCCTTCTTTCAAGAGTGTACTCCCTCCCCTCTCCTCCCCTCAGTTGCTACCGCTGCTGCAGTCGACCTCCTTGGTGCTGAGGAAGTTGGCGCTGCGTCTGCTCCCAGTGGAAGGCGCAACAACAGCAAGGGCAGAGGGGGCAGGGGTGGTGGTGGTGGCAGCAGCGGGGGGGGTGGCGGGGGTGGTGGCGGGGGTGGTGGAGGCTCTGGGGGTGGCTCTGGGGGTGGCGGCAGTGGAGGAGGCGGACAGGGTGGAGGAGGCGGCGGTGGTGGGGGAGGCGGTTGGGGTAGCAGGGGCGGCGGAGGAGGTCGAGGTGGGTCTGGCAGGGGTGGTGGCGCTCGTGGACCCTCCCGTGGCTACGGGAGTGGTCAGCAGCTGCCGCGCCTCCCGGACAACCCCACCGACCAGCAGCTTCGTGAGTGGGTTCTCCAGCGTGGGGGCTCTGGGGGCTCTGGCCGCTGCCCTTATGTCCGGCGCACGGGGCTTTTGAAGGGCACAGTCTGCGGGAAGCCGCACACTGAGTACAAGTGCTTCGGCCGTCTTGAGGACGCCTGGGTGACTCAGTACAGTGAGGACCAGGAGGTACCGAACTGGCTGCTGCTGATTGGGAAGGGGGTAGATGTGTTTGCTCTTGACTTTGCTAAGATCAATGCTGCTCTCTATGCCATGTATGTTGCTGATAATAGTGTTGAGGGTGCGTGTTACTCGTGTGTGCCTTGCGATGCTGGTGGTGATGCTGCTCCCCTAGGTGCTAGTGTGTCTGCTGCCGCTCTAGGTGCTAGTGTCGCTACTGCACCAGGTGCTAGTGAGTCTGCTGCTACTGCTGAGGTCTTGCACACTTTCACGCTTGACTCTGGTGCGTCCCGTTGCTTCTTTCGCGACTGCACCACTGTCACCCCACTCACTACACCAGTTCCAGTCTCACTGGCGGACCCCTCTGGGGGTCCGGTAGTTGCACGCCACTCCACTGTCCTCCCGTGCCCAGCTGTCCCCTCTGGCTCTCTGTCAGGCCTCCACCTCCCCTCGTTCTCGACGAACCTGGTGAGCAACGCCATCCTCCAGGATGTATGGGTTGACACCTTTACTCCTGGAGGTCAGCGTGTGGCGATCTGCACATGCGCCAAGACAGGCCGTCACCTGGCTACGTTCACACGGCAGCCGGGGTCGAACCTGTACACACTCACCACAGCGTCTGCACAGGTAGCTGCGTCTGGTCAGGTGGCTGCGACTGGTCAGCTCGCTGCGTCCTGCTCGTGTCGCCTCCTCACTCACCCTGCGCAGCTTTGGCACCACCGTCTTGGCCACCCGTCGCAGCTGCGTCTGCGCGGCATGCACTCCCGGCTCCTGGTCTCTGGCCTCCCTGTGACCCTGCCCCCTCTCCCGCGCTCGCTTGCGCCGCCGTGCCTTCCTTGCGTCGAGGGGCGGCAGCGCGCCGCTCCTCACTCCTCCGAGTTTCCTCCGACCACTGCTCCTCTGCAGACTCTCCACCTGGACGTGTGGGGCCCGGCCCCCGTCGGTGGGACGGACCTGGAGCGCTACTTCCTGCTGGTTGTTGACGACTACACACGCTACACCACAGTCTTCCCCTTGCGTCGCAAGGCGGACGTCAGCGGTGTTTTGATCCCCTGGATCCGTGCTACTCGTCTTCAGCTGCACGAGCGCTTTCATCAGGACTTCCCAGTCCTGCGTCTGCACTCTGACAGGGGTGGTGAGTTCAGCTCTGGCGTCCTTGAGACGTTATGCCAGGATGAGGGCATCGCCCAGTCGTTCACGCTTCCGGCCTCTCCGCAACAAAATGGGATCCCTGAGCGTCGCATTGGCCTGATCATGGAGGTTGCTCGTACCTCCATGATCCATGCGGCTGCTCCCCATTTCCTGTGGCCGTTTGCGGTCCGATACGCCGCGCATCAGCTCAACCTCTGGCCCCGTGTCTCTGCTCCAGAGACCTCGCCCACACTCCGTTGGACGGGACAGCCTGGTGATGCGTCGTCGTTTCGGGTCTGGGGCGCGCTCTCCCTTGTTCGCGATACCAAAGCGAGCAAGCTCTCTCCTCGCACTCTCCGCTGTGTCTTCCTGGGCTTCCCCACCGACGCTCCACCCTGGTAGTACTACCACCCTGCCTCGCGTCGTGTTCTGTCCTCTCAAGACGTCACCTTTGACGAGTCGGTCTGTTACTACCGACTTCACCCGCACGCGTCCCACCCGGTCCCTCTCGCACCTCTCTTCCTGGTACCAGTCCCCCCCCCGGTAGACCCCCTTCCCCCACAGGGTCCTGCTCCCTCAGGTGTGTCCCAGGTAGACCCACCCCCCTTGGATGAGCCAGTTGAGATCTCTTCTGACTCCTCTGACTCACCTGAGGGGGGTGACGCAGTCGCCGACGACACGGCGGCCACTCGCCGCACTCCTCGCTTGGAGACCCCCCCGGGTTTCCCGCCACGGCCGTCTTCGCCGCCTCCGTAGCCTGCTGCTGTGGACTCTGGAGCTGAGACTACTGGAGCTGGGGCTGGGGGTGGTGAGACTGGGGGTGCCCGCTCTCCTCGTCTGGCTACCTCCCCTGGGTTCCCACCTCTACCGTCTTCGCCGCCTCTGCAGCCGGCTGCTGTGGACACTGGAGCAGAGACTGAGGGTACTGAGCTTGGGGGTGCTGGGACTGAGGGTACTGAGCGTGGGGGTGCTGGGACTGAGGGTACTGAGCCTGGGGGTGCTGGGACTGAGGGTACTGAGCCGGCGGGTGCAGGGACTGAGGGTGCTGAGACTGAGGGTACTGAGACTGAGGGTACTGAGCCTGAGAGTCCTGACTCTGGGGGTGCTGAGAGTTCGGGTGCTGACTCTGGGGGTGTTGCGAGTCCTTCTGGTGTTGGTGTAGTCGGAGCTTCTACCGGAGGACCTGGTGCTGCTGGTGCTGGAGGTCCTGGAGCTACTGGTGCTGGAGGTACTGGAGGTGCTGCTGGTACTGGAGGTCGTGGAGCTGCTGGTGCTGGAGGTACTGGAGGTGCTGCTGGTGCTGGAGGTCGTGGTGCTGCTGGTGCTGGAGGTCGTGGAGCTGGAGGTACTGGAGCTGCTGGTGCTGGAGGTGCTGGAGGAGCTGCTTGTGCTGGAGGAGCTAGAGGTGCTGGAGTTGCTGGGGCTGGAGGTGCTGGAGGTGCTGGAGGTCCTGGTGGAGCTATTGGTGCTCTTCGCCACCTCCTCAGTCTTCCGCCAGGTGCTACTGGCTTCCCTGTGGCAGGTACTACTCTTCTGTTGCTGTGTCCGCCGCCGGACCAGTCACACCCACCGCTGCTACCACACTCCCCACTGCCTGCTCCTGCTCCTTACACTGCGGTGTCAGAGTCCCTGACTGAGCGTCGAGAGCCTGAGACTCGTGCTTCCACCCCTGAGCGTCGAGAGCCTGAGTCTAGCTTTGACCTTGAGCCTGAGCCTAGAGCTGCTGTCCGTGCTCGTGTTCCTCGTGTTCGTCGTCCGCGTGCTCCGGCTGTCCCCGGCACTCACGATATGACACT